TGGACACTCATCACCTGTGGATTAGAGCGAGATGAGATAGACATTGATCACCTGTGGATGAGAGCGACGGGATGGACACTCATCACCTGTGGATGAGAGCGAGATGAGATGGACACTGGTCACCTGTGGACTAGAGCGAGATGAGAGAGACACTGATTACCTGTGGATGAGAGCGAGATGAGATGGACACTGATCACCTGTGGACTAGAGCGAGATGAGATAGACACTGATCACCTGTGGACTAGAGCGAGATGAGATAGACACTGATCAACTGTGGATGAGAGCGAGATGAGATGGACACTCATCACCTGTGGATGAGAGTGAGATGAGATGGACACTCGTCACCTGTGAATGAGAGCGAGATGAGATAGACACTGATCACCTGTGGACTAGACCGAGATAAGATGGACACTGGTCACCTGTGGACTAGAGCGAGATGAGATAGACACTCATCACCGGTGGACTAGAGCGAGATGAGATGGACACTCATCACCGGTGGACTAGAGCGAGATGAGATGGACACTGATCACCTGTGGATTAGAGCGAAATGATAAAGACACTGATCACCTGTGGACTAGAGCGAGATGAGATGGACACTGATCACCTGTGGATGAGAGTGAGATGAGATGGACACTGGTCACCTGTGAATGAAAGTGAGATGAGATAGACACTGATCACCTGTGGATGAGAGCGAGATGAGATAGACACTGATCACCTGTGGATGAGAGTGAGATGAGATGGACACTGATCACCTGTGGATGAGAGCGAGATGAGAGGGACACTGAACACCTGTGGATGAGAGCGAGATGAGAGAGACACTGATCACCTGTGGATGAGAGTGAGACGAGATGGACACTGATCACCTGTGGATGAGAGCGAGATGAGATGGACACTCATCACCTGTGGACTAGAGCGAGATGAGAGAGACACTGATCACCTGTGGACTAGAGCGAGATGAGAAAGACACTGATCACCTGTGGACTAGAGCGAGATGAGATGGACACTGGTCACCTGTGGACTAGAGCGAGATGAGATAGACACTGATCACCTGTGGATGAGAGCGAGATGAGATAGACACTGATCACCTGTGGATGAGAGTGAGATGAGATGGACACTCATCACCTGAGGATGAGATCGAGATGAGATGGACACTGATCACCTGTGGATGAGAGCGAGATGAGATGGACACTCATCACCTGAGGATGAGATCGAGATGAGATGGACACTGATCACCTGTGGATGAGAGTGAGATGAGATGGACACTCATCACCTGAGGATGAGATCGAGATGAGATGGACACTGATCACCTGTGGATTAGAGCGAGATGAGAGGGACACTGGTCACCTGTGGATGAGAGCGAGATGAGATGGACACTGGTCACCTGTGGATTAGAGCGAGATGAGAGGGACACTGATCACCTGTGGATGAGAGCGAGATGAGAGAGACACTGATCACCTGTGGATGAGAGTGAGATGAGATGGACACTGATCACCTGTGGATGAGAGCGAGATGAGATAGACACTGATCACCTGTGGATTAGAACGAGACGGGATAGACACTGATCACCTGTGGATTAGAGCGAGATGAGATGGACACTGATCACCTGTGGACTAGAGCGAGATGAGATGGACACTGATCACCTGTGGACTAGAGCGAGATGAGATAGACACTGGTCACCTGTGGATGAGAGTGAGATGAGATGGACACTGATCACCTGTTGGATGAGAGCGAGATGAGATGGACACTCATCACCTGTGGATTAGAGCGAGATGAGATGGACACTGATCACCTGTGGACTAGAGCGAGATGAGATGGACACTGATCACCTGTGGACTAGAGCGAGATGAGATAGACACTGGTCACCTGTGGATGAGAGTGAGATGAGATGGACACTGATCACCTGTTGGATGAGAGCGAGATGAGATGGACACTCATCACCTGTGGACTATAGCGAGATGAGATGGACACTGGTCACCTGTGGATGAGAGCGAGATGAGATGGACACTGATCACCTGTGGATGAGAGCGAGATGAGATGGACACTGATCACCTGTGGATTAGAGCGAGATGAGAGAGACACTCATCACCTGTGGATTAGAGCGAGATGAGAGAGACACTGATCACCTGTGGATTAGAGCGAGATGAGATGGATATTGATCACCTGTGGATGAGAGTGAGATTCCTCCAGCGTTCGTCTCTCTTTGGAAAGCTCGCAGCCTCGTTCTGCCCTTGCTGCGGAGTCTGGGGTAGTTTTGTGAAAAGACAACCCCCCCCCCTATCCCCCACTCTGCTGGAAACTTTGTCGACACCACCACCACAACACCACCACAACAACAACACAACAACGACACGACCACAACGCGCACCGCGAACAGCAGGAGCAAGCAGTACCTGTGACCGACGTCTCCCTTTTTTATTTACACGCTTTCATTTAACTCACTCTGTCTGTTATTGTTGTTGTCGTTGTTGTATTATCAAATCTTGTAACTCAATTTATCACATCTTCCCAATGTGGTATCGACTGCATACTTGGTATACTTATGTCATACTGATGACAATACTATATTCTATCATAATAAAAATATATATATATTTTAAATCATTATTTATGTTATGTTTCGGCTTGTCTCTAACTTGTCCACGGTCAACTGACGTTGGCTGTAATTGACCAGCGGTCCCTTTCGTTATGACAAGCTTCGGGGCCACTTCCTGGAGTCGTGGAGTTCTTCCATTACTAGTACATTTCATAAAAGCGTGTTTCTTTTTAAAAGTGTTTTTTTAATATTACTTATTGTTGTTATTGTTGTGCAGGTCGTACCGCGCCGCCGTTTAGCGCGACCCTCCATCCGACCGCGTGGCTCCCCACTTGCAGACGCCAAACGCAGGGCAGAGGCAACGGGCAGAGCGCGCAATGCCCCCTAGGACAACGCGCGATCCGTCTCTCCGCGCCTCGGCACGTGAGCGCGGCACCCTCCTGCGAAGCGCTCCATAGGAAGCGTCGTCCGTGCTGCCGGGACACGCGAGATATGCGGCGGGATCGGTGGGGGCGGTGGCCGTGGTGGTGATTGCGTCTTTTACGGCGAGCGAAAAAGGCGAGAGAGTGAGCGAGAGAGAGAGAGAGAGCCGTGCCGAAATGTTTGCGCCCTGTAATTGTGCCAGACAAAGGCGCCTTCTGATGGGGATGGAAGAAAGAAAGAATGGACGCATTTATCGATCTATTTCGCGTGTCGAGGAAGGCGGCAGCCACTTACAGGGCTCGGTATTAACGCGTGCGGGCGCGCGCTCCGCTGCTGTGAATGCCCCCAGTGTCTGTTAAGCCACTCACGCGATGCCGCTAGAGTGTGTGTGTGCGTGTACCCGGGCCACATAAATCAAACCTCTTCGTGCGCGTTTATGAAAGTTCCCCTTCATCGCTTCTATTGCCGACAGAAGGAGTAGCATATGGGTATATATGGAGCACTTTTTTTTAACAATCAGAAGATTAACAAAAAACTTTCGCAAAAAATGCTACAATGCTTGCCCCCCTCCCATGCCCCCCCCCGCCCCTCCCTCCTTTATCTCAGTGAGGGTAAAATTCAATTAAAGGCGTGTGAAAGGGGTGGTCATTGATCGTACGTTATCTCAGAGCTGCAATCACATCCGATTGCCTTGCCTGCACCAGCTGTGCTCTCTGTCACCAGCGTGACATCACCCCTAATGGGGACGCGGCACACAGACACACACACGGACACACACACACACACGGACACACACACACAAACACACAGACACAACACACGGACACACGGAACACACACACAAACACACAGACAGACACACGGACACACACACACAACAAACACACAGACAGACACGAAGATGAAAACACACACAGACACACCCCCACACACACACACATACACACACCGACACACACAAAGACACACACACACAGACAGACAGACACGAAGATGAAAACACACACAGAACACCCCCACAGACACACACACACACAAACACACAGACAGACACGAAGATGAAAACACACACAGACACACCCCCACAGACACACACATACACATACCGACACACACAAAGACACACACACAGACAGACACAAAGACAAATACACACAGAGACACACCCCCACACACACACACATAAACACACCGACACACAAAGACACACATAGACAGACACACAGACACGAAGATGAAAACACACAGAGACACACCCCGACAGACACACACATAAACACACAGACAAAAAAACAAAGATCCCCCGTATAGCCTGAACAGACTGTTGGGGCAAGTGTTGTTAGCGGGTACCCATGAAGATCTGAACGGCATACGGGGGGTGGAGGGCCAGGACCACGCCGGACCGCCTTTGTCTCCCGAGTCGCGATGGTCACACACCGACACACATACCTATACACACCAACACACACAGCGAAACACACACGGATCCACACCGACGCAGAGATACAGATACACACAGACCAACGCAGACACACACACACACCGACACTGGCCATATATAAAAATAAGAGCTTCATAGCTCATCGGATTCCTCCCGTATAAATACAGATTCTGATTCTGACACTGACACCCACACGCGCACATACACAAAGCAAACTGATGCACACCACACACGAACACCCACCACACCAACACCCCCACACCGCGATGGGGGGGGGGATAAATGCCTGGACACGCGGGATATATACATCATCATCTTCAACGTCATCATCATCAGTCATCATCGTTATCATTGTCATAGTCATCATCGTCGTCGTCATCATCATAGTCATATCGTCGTCATCATTATCATCATCATCGTCATCATCGTCGTCATCATCATTATCATCGTCGTCATCATCATCGTCATCATAGATCGTAGTCATCATCATCGTCATCATCATCATCGTCATCATCGTCGTCGTCGTCGTCATCATCATCATTGTCGTCATCATCATCATCGTCGTCATCGTCATCATAGTCACATCATAATCAGGCGCCATCATAATCAGCCGTGATTCGTCCGCTGCTGGATGAAGGCCCACCCCGAGCCGTCGCCACCTCTCAGCATCACGCGAGGCAGCAGTTGACAGTTGACGGAGCAGCCAAGCTGTGAGACGCCTTACTCGCAGGTGCCATTATTAATGCACCCACGGTTCATCGGTTCCAATTGAAATTAAAGACATGGCGTGTGGACAGCTTCTGCGAAGCAGACAGCCAAAAAAACAGAGCAGCCTCGGGCACGCGGCCTTTCTTCGCGGCGTTGTGTATTTCGCACCTCCGATTGGCCACGGCTGGCTACGTACGGTGCGAAAGAAGTTCAACGCGCAGTTCGTCAGCTGTGCGTGTTGTTGTCTGTGCGGGGAAATGCCACGAGGTGTTCTCCGCGGTCATCATCGTTCGCGATGGACAGCCGAAGAATCATCCTAAACAGCGTCAACCTTTATCCCACTTCCTTTGCTCTGCCGTCTCGAGTTGCACTCAATGAGAGTCGCGCTATAACCAGATGATGATGATGGACGCAAGCCGAACTCATCCGTTTCATCTCCGCGGTGGATGTCCTTTCTACGGGGGTGTGTCCCATCCATCGTTCGTCTCGACCACGGGGCCCATCGTCTCGCTCAGTGACGCGACCCTGCCCACAGCCACTCACGTCTCTGAATTATGCATGCGTGTATGTTGGACTTCTTTCGCACCGTACGTAGCCAACCGTTGCTTAATCGGAGGCGCGGGAAAGAGCGGGGAGCGTGAACGGCGCCGTCACTGCTGACAGGACTCCGACGCTCACAAAGCCAGAGGGTTACGTCTTGACTTGAAGATTTCGTGACTGCATGAATCCATACTCTTTGGTTCTTTCGGTAAAGTCACGTAGGTGTAAAAATAATAGTACCAGAAGGTTATGTTTGGCCCTACCCCCTTCCCCCTACCCTAAGCTGTCTTGGAAGAGGTGTGGGTACCCACACTTTGCCCCACCACCGCGTGATCTGCCCGTCGACTCACTGTAGTCGAACACATTCATTACTGCCGGATAGACAGAGGCAGTGGGAGATGGAGAGGCATTGAATAAACGCGCGCTATTGTTTCAGCTGCCGCGCCCGGAGATCGAATCTAACCGGCCCGACCTCTGGTTTGCAAGCGCAGCGCGCTGACCGTAACGCCGCCACTGTGGCAACCTCCTCGTCGTTAAACAAATTCACAAATTATATTTTCAAAAGATCTGAATGTACGCCGACACTTTTGAAGTGTGACACAGTTTGAAGTTGCCTCCACGCCCACCGCGACCAGGGAAATGCTGGTTTAGGCATAAAAACTACTTTTTTACGCGTGTGTGTGTGTGAAAAAAAACATATTGCGAAGAAATGCTTTGTAAGCAGAGGCCCAATTGTTTATCACAATAAATAGCAAACAAAAAAAATGCATGGGTGAGTGAATGTGGCTTTAGGGCTAAGGCTCCCGCGGGGCCTTAATCTAATGCGCACACCGGGTCCTGGCCGCGTGATTTATATTGTCCAGTTTATTTGTGGCTGAAACCCCGGCGCTGAATTGAGTGTTAATCATATCAGCATGTGCAGCGATATTGTTCACGTCTGCGTATTAACCCAATAACGCGCCGCGCTCAACGGATACTCCCTCCCCCCCCACCTCCCTCACCTCCCCCCAAACCCCCCTCCCCAAAACGCCAGCGGTTGTTCGCAAAGCGTTTCACGAGCTCGCGTGAGCTTGGTACCCGTCATGGTTAGCTTGCGTGCCGGCCTCGAAATACAGTCCAGAAGGTCCTCCGGCTCCATTTCATTCTTCCCATCCCCCATCTGCACCCCCCCCCCCACACTCCCCTCGCCACCCCCTCCCCCCGCCCCCATCACCCAGCTGGCCCCTGTACCCAGCAGCAGTATCAATGCGGACGCCGCAGTTAAATCTATGATCGGCAGGTCACGCGCGGTGTGGTAAAGTGTAGGTACGCCCCACCTCTTCCAAGACTATTAAACTATGACAACAACAACAAAAAATGAGCATACCAGGTAAGGATTATTGAGCTATACTCTTAGTTCTTTCGGTAAAGTCACGTAGGTAAAAAATGACTTTACCGAAAGAACTAAGAGTATGAATCCTTGCAGTCACGAAAGCTTCAAATCTAGAACCTATTGAGCTATATAAGTATTTTTTTCAGAAGCGACCTGGTTATCACAAATGATAGCTCAACGAAGTGGCTGATCATCATCACCACGTGGGAATTTATATCAGCCAAATATTTTATACGCGTGACGTTGATTCTAAATGTGGAGGGAAAAACCGGAGGACCCGGAGAAAAATCCTCGGGGCCACGGAGAGAGTGAACATGCAAACGCCAAATATACAGCAGGCATCAGGGTCGGGATCGAACCCACGACCTTCCTGTATACCAGGCGAGGTAGTTAACATCTCGCCACCGCGGCGAGATGTTGACTACCTTCGCCTGGTATACTTCTGCGCAGCATCATCATCATCACTCATCACTTTCTCGCATCACATTCCCTCTCATCACTGCATCTCACCACTTTATCTCTCATCACTTCATCTCTCATCACTTTATCTCTCATCACTTTCTCTCTCTCTCCTTCGATGCAGTCCTGTAGAGTTCCAGACGCGATTTGCGAATAGACAACAATCTCGGATGGCAAGTTCGTGAATAACGAGTGAGGTGCGGTAAAACTAAAAAAGCACACTGTTACCGTAGGGACACGCGAAATTCATGAACAATCGTAGAATAAGTTCGCGGGTCTTTGGAGGTGACAACGTAAAATGTAAAGCTATTGCGGGATAAATCAGTGCATGTCTGCAGTGCTATTAAACCTCCTCACTGAGAACGTATTAACGCTTCCCAACCAAGCTTTGAAAGCGCTCGTGGATCAGCCGCGTCTGTAATGGTGTGGGGGTGGGGGGGGGATGAAAACTTTCCTAAAGATGATCCAACGCGCACGAGACTCCAGTGTCGGGTTTGCGTCGCCGTTCGAGACTCAAGCCGGACAACACGGGCCCTCGTTGATCAAATCGTCTCCCAAAAAATCGTCTCCCAAAAAATCGTCTCCCAAAAAACTCGAGGAGACCCGCAAAGTATGAAGAAGACAATGCACTCCGTTGGCCGATTTCGCCAACAATTAATTACTTCTTCTTGGTTCTTTCGGTAAAGTCACGTAGAAGGGAGGTAATATTATTTTATTACTTCCCTTCTACGTGACTTTACCGAAAGAACCAAGAAGATGAATCCCTGCAGTCACGAAAGCTTTAAATAGAAAACGAATTACTTGTGAAGGCAAGCGCACGCGCGCCGGGCAGCATCACGTGATCCGCCCGTCCGCGTTAATTCTTCCCAACCGCGTCGTTGTTGTTGATGTGAACTTACCATTTGTATTCCGACTTCTTTGGGGCACTCGGCCTCATGCGGTGATGGGAGGCGTCCGCAGAGAGCAGCGCACCACCCCGTGGCAGGGAAAGAAGCACCAGGGGGGGCGGAAAGATCCGCATCAACTTCTTCCGAGATCCCTCGAAGTGTCCCTTCCCCTCCCCCCCCCCCCCCACGTCTCTCTCCACGCACGATAGAAAAAAAGACGGTGGTCGCATGGGCCATCGAACCATTTTCGTTCATTTTAAGAATTGGAATTCATCCAAAACCTAAGTTTAAAACGTCTAAGATGAGAAAATACCGCCAACAACAAAAAGCCACCGCTCAATACCTTCAAAAAATGTCGATCAGTTGGTGTGGGTTTTTGTGAGCGTGTGTCGTGTGGGGGGACGGTAGGGTTAGCGTCAGCGCGCTGCACTACGAAGCCGATTCCCGCTCACGGCCACCAACATCAGTGGCGATGATCCGAGTCGGTCCTGGGCCGCCCCTATGTCGACTCAGCCTCAAATGAGTACCTGGTTCCGTGTGTAAACATCGCCACTGGGGAGACAAAGACAGTCTGATGCGGTGGTGGCCATTCAACCCCTCCTTTGCCCTTGCCAGCCATCATAGGTGCTCGCTAACAGCACTTAGTCTGTTAAGGCTACACGGGGGGTCTTTGTCTTCGTTTTGTGGGACATAGAAGCAATGGCAACATGGTTGCTACCTTTTCCATAGAGCGGTGGGCAATACGTTTCGACACAACCTCGGTGCCAGACATCGGTACAAATTCATTGCAGCCACCAACCTCGAAGCCGAGGCGATCAACTCCCCAGACTTGAGAACCCGTCTTTCAGGATCAGAATATTCATTTATACCGGAGGAATCCGATGAGCTACAAAGCAAAAAAAAAAAAATTCACAGGTGTCCACCAGGTTTTTAATCAAACGACGCGCGCGCGTGCACATTTGCGATTCCTTTAAACTATCGCGCTGCAAACTTTTTTTTGTAAACAGATTTTTTTTTTTAATCTTGGTACAAAAAACCCCAAAAAATGCTTTCGCTGGTGCTCTTGGCTGCGGTCAGCCAGCGGATGAGGCTGGCCGGCATCGTTGAGGTCGTGTCGGCGTTAAATAATTTAGACCCCCCCCCCTTCCTCCTACCTCCTATAGGCTGGAGATAGATTGGCTGGTTCGTGGCACGCACAGCGGTCAGATAAGGCGACGCGAGCCACAAATAGAGGAGCGCAGAATCGAGAGAGAGAGAGAAACGCTTCATCAAATATGCGTTAACCGCGGGGCATCGATTCGGCCGGATGTCACGGGGGGCGCACGCTCGGATTCCTCACGTGCAATCTGATGGCGTTGTTCGTCGCGAAGCCCCCAACACTCGTTCGGGGAAAACGCGAGAGATCGCCAGCGCGCTCGCTCCGGAGAGGCTGGAGCCGTTCAACGATTATGTTTTTTTGTTTGTTTGTTTATTTGTTTGCGCGTGCGCGCGCGTGAGTTCGAATGGGCAGTCAAAACCATCAAATTGGGTTTAATTGGCATTTTGTCTTCTATTCCGAAGAGGCCCACGGAACGTCAAAACGACGGCGGGGGGTTGTTGTTGTTGTTGTTGAAGGGCGGCGCCGGGGCTGGGAGGTTTGCGGGCCACGGCGTTGGGGCGCGGACACACAATGCCTGTGCGTGTGTGTGTGAGTGTGCGCATGTGTATGTGTGCGTGAGTGTGCGTGTGTGTGTGCGTGTGCATGTGTATGCGTGCGTGTGTGTGCGTGCGTGTGTGTGCGTGAGTGTGCGCACGTGTGTGTGTGCGTGAGTGTGCGTGTGTGCATGTGTGTGTGCGTGTGCATGTGTGTGTGTGCGTGTGTGCGTGAGTATGCGCGCGTGAGTGTACGCGTGTGTGTGTGTGCGTGTGTGTGTGAGTAGTGTAGCGGTTAGCGCGCTGCGCTACGAACCCGGCGATCCGGGTGCGATTCCCGCTCACGGCCGATTATTTGAATCGGTCCCGTGCCTCCCGCCCAGGTCGACTCAGCCTCAAAAAAGTACCTGGGAACGGTGTGTAAACATCACCACTGGAGATTCAAAGGCGGCCGGGCGTGGTGTTGACCACCCACCCCCTCGTCTTCCATTCTGTCCTTCAACGGTATTCGATAACAGCACTTGTCCCTGCGGTGTGTTAAGGCAATACGGGGGGGGGGGGGTCTTTGTTTTGTGTGGATGATGAATCGACAGCGTTGGACCACGCCTTTGTGGGAACGGTGGTGATGATGGTGATCTTGCTCGGGTTGCCACCTGTCCTGGTTTTCCCGGGATTGTCCTCTTGTTGACGAGGCAGCTGGTGTCCTGGGGAGTCTGCGCATCTTCCTGGGACATTTAAAGTGCCGGGTTTTTTTTGTCGGTTGTGTAATTATATTACTAATCCACTACTCGAGACAGCACTTGTATGTGGAGTTCCCATCTCTTCCGGTATTGTGAGATATTCTTCCTATGAAATGTCCCTGTATTTTGGACCAACGGGTGGCATCCCAAGCTGTTGATGAAGCAATATCTGTTGCTGCTTCTGCTTCCAGACCCCCTGCACGAGTTGTGTTAAAATGTCACGGCCATAATCAAACAGCGAACAGGGCATGGCTGTTTTTTGTTTTTGTAATGCGGTGCATCCACTGCTGGATGAAGGCCTTCCCATTCCATCTCAGTATTTTGCATTTTTTGTCTGACCATACTTCGCCTTGCTGGTCAGTGCGTGGTGGTGGCGGCGAAGGGGAATTAGGACCAGGACCGGTCCAGTCGTCACTGACGTTAGCCGTGCACAGGTGAATGGAGCTCCAATGTCAAGATTCACAGTGCACCCCGCTAACCACCACCGTTCCACCGCTCCCCACAATGTTTTATAACATTTTGTCCATACAAATGCGTCGCGTGTGTTCGCTCGCACACGCTCTGTATATAAAATATGCTCAGAGAGCGCGGGGGGGTGGGAGGGGTGGGAGACGGTAGAAATCAATGAACCCAAGACAGTGCTGGTGATGATGCTACGTCTCGGAGTAAATGAGCTGCTCATATTGATGGCCGTCTGCCAAAGAGCCGTGAACCGCGCTGTGGCTGTTGAGTGGTGCGCAGGCGGTGCAATTGCGGCGGCGGGGGGTTGGGGTGGTGTGCGGTGGGAGGGAGGGAGGGAGGTGGGAATTGCAGAGGAGGCCCCATTTCATTCCTCGCATCAGTGCAGGGAACGAGCCCTCCACGCTTATGCCATCACCGCGGTTTGTGCGAGATGGCAGCGATGCACTGCGGCAGGGGGGGGGGGCATTTTGTCGCTGAGTATTTTACGAGCCGCCGGTCGACTGGACGCAAGTGGCACGCGACTTGTAGCAGCCGCAACCCGGGGAGGGAAAGGCTACGCTCGATGCGGTGCGCCGTGTGTGGAAAATTGAAACCCGGTGGGCACGGCAGAAATGAAGCCCTGGGCGCTGAACGTGAGCCATCGATCGGCCGCCGTCATGCACCCTCCGAGGAATCCCCTCTTTAACCCTCGTCCACTATCTTCTTGGTTCTTTCGGTAAAGTCACGTAGAAGGGAAATAATAAAATAATAAAAATAAAACATAATAAAATAATTCTCACGACGTTTCGGCCACAACGCAAGCAGCCGTCCTCAGGTGAAGACCAGTTCTGTCGGGGAGACAGCGTCTGAATGAAACACCACCACGCTTGGAGCGTATATTTAAGCTGGGTTGGAAGGGGCAAAAGCGCCTTGACAAAAGAATTTGCATATCAAGAGGAATTTAGCATATTTATGGGAAATGCAGATATGTGATTAGTACTACTTGTCCACTATCTTCACTCACTCACTCTCTCTCTCGTCTCTCGTCTCATGGACAGCAGCTGCAGAGGAACACTTTTCTTCTCCTCTGTTACTTTTGTGATTGCCCCCAAAGTCTGTCTCTCGATCGCGCGGTCGGTGTCGCATCACGAGACGATGAAGCCACTCGGAACTCTGGGAGAGCAGAGCTCCCTCTGAGATCCCCCCCTCCTTCTAGTGACCGCCAGACCGCTTAGTGAAGAGCTGCACTTTTCCACCCGCTCTGCCGTATGCGAGTAATGTTCGTCACGTGACAGCCAAACCGATACTTTGAATCTCAAGAGCTGGCATTTAATCAAATTAAGCGCAGAATCAAATTGATTGATGATTGATTGTGATGGGCGGGGGAGGGGGGGTTGTACGGTGATTGTGCTTTTTCCTCTCGACAAGCACAGCGACCGATCGTAGCTGGAGGGGCGAGCTCGTGTCAGACACCACTGCGGGACGCTACGTCCTTGGTTATTTTTGTTGCTGGTGTTGCGCCTTCGTTAGTCATGCCCCCCTTGCTTGCTTCCGAAGCCATCAGGCGCTAATTGTGGCGAACGACGCGCTTAGCCGCCCGGCCGTTATGGATTTCGTTCAGCCAAGTGCCAGTCTTGAATACACCGCGGGAGAATCCCAATTATGTCGTTTTGCTTGGCTGCGCGAGGGGGTTGGGCTTTTTGAAACAAGCAGAGGGCAAGCGATACCACGACCACCGGCACCACCAGCGGTAGCAGCAGCAGCAGCAACAGCAACAGCCTCCGTCGTCGTTTTTTGACACATGCGACCACCCCAAGCGCTGAGCCGGACAAATACGGTCTCGTGAAAACCATTGCGGTGAGGGGCGAGGGCAGTGGCGTTGCCTGGTCGGCACGTGGCATGGACGCGTTTCGAATGCGCCAGTTCGCCTTCGCGTCGCGTGTGCGATTGACGCGTCATGTGCCCCCCACCAAATCACTGATATTACCGCCCCCCCCTTTCCCAAGGCAATTTAGCGGCGTTACGGACGCCTGAGGCCGATACCAGGGCCTTCAAACTCGCCCTTCGCCGGCCTTCCTATCCGAGCGTCTTGGGGGCCCCCTCCGGTACGTCGTCACCCCGGGCGCAGTTGCACCGCCTGCGCACTGCCCTCGTCGCTGTGACACGGCATTGGGGGGGGGGGTCCCAAAGCGAGGCAGGGGGTGAGCACTTTCGCCCCGACACCGGAGACGGAGCAACGCAGTTGTCCACGTGGGCACTTGAGGCAGAGCGGCTCTCAGATTTTGCCATCACCACCATCAACATCATCGCCATCACAAAGGCGTGTTGGGTTCGACCGCGTTTTATATAAATGCGTCGTTAAACCCTGCCACTATCCGACGCGGCCAATGAGTAAGGTTGTCACGTAAACAAAACGCGTCAATTAGTTATTGCCTCCGCACACCGGTGCGTCGGAGAGTAAACGCGCAACATTTACAACTCGAGTACGACGTTTCGCTGCTGATTACGACAACCCGCTTCATCAGGCGATTAACCTACGCGTTAAACAGATCGTCGCCATCGTTTCATTTTGTTTTCATTTTTCCAAAGAGGAGAAGGGAGGAAGAGGAGGGACGAGGAGGAGGGATGAGGAGAAGAGAGGAGGAGGGAGGAGGAGGGAGGAGGAGGAGGAGGAGGGAGGAGGAGAGAGGAGGAGGGAGGAGAGAGAGGAGGAGGGAGAGGAGGAGGAGGAGGGAGGAGGAGGAGGGAGGGAGGAGGAGAAGAGATGAGGAGGGAGGAGGAGGGAGGAGGAGGAGGGAAGAGGAGGGAGGAGGAGGAAGGAGGGAGGAGGAGGGATGAGGAGGAGGGAGAAGGAGGGAGGAGGAGGGAGGAGGGATGAGGAGGAGGGAGGAGGAGGGATGAGGAGGGAGGAGGGATGAGGAGGAGGGAGGAGGAGGGAGAAGAAGAGATGAGGAGGGAGGAGTAGGGAGGAGGAGGAGGAGGAGAAGGAGGGAGGAAGAGGGAGGGAGGAGGGGGAGGGAGGAGGAGGAGGGAGGAGGAGGGCCTGTTTTATGTTTGTAGCTACATAACACGAGGAAGACACAACGAACCGGGGTTACGCATCCTCCCAGGGAGTGACAGGACGGCTACCGCACGCTGCCGTTGCCGTTCCTAGCCGTGCTGCCGCGTGTGCGGGAACCACGCGGGGACCATGGGAAGAGAGAGAGAGAGAGGGGAGGAGGGCAACGGGAGAGGAAGGGGACCACGAGAGAGGCGGGGGACCACGAGAGAGAGGGGGCCACTAAGAGAGAGGAGGGGAGCCACACATCCACCGTGTGCGTAGCCGGCAGTGATTCCCTGCGACGGTGAAGAAAGAGAGACTCGATGGTGGTGTTCACGCAGGCCAGAAGAAAGTCTCGCGATCGACAAATCATTGCGAGAGGCGCCCCTGCCTGCTCCCCCACCCCCGGGGGCAGCGCGCAAAAGCCCTTGAATCTGGGCCCTCTGACCGGCGGCAGGCCGCGTGCATCGCACACTTCAATTAGGGGCCAGTGAAGCCCATCTCGGCGCCCGTTAATGCGAGCGCTTTTCAAATGAGCGCATGTTGTTACACGGCTGCAGTTGTTTCACAACATTCCTCTCAGCCGCCCCCAACGCCCTCCCACCTTTACACCGCTCCTACCATCACTCAGCCCCCCCCCCTTTCCCCCACTTCACTCCGCCAATGCAGCAGCACTGACGCCACCATCATCACCACTCACACCATCGCTGTTTTCACTACCGCCATCATCATCATCACCATCACGCCACCACCATCACTCTTATCGCTACCGCTACTACTAACACCACCATCACGCCACGACCATTACTGTTATCGCTACCGCATCTGCCGCTATCATCATCACCATCACACCACCGCTTCAGATATTCATCGCCGATGTTGGCCGTGAGCGAGAATCAAACGTGGGCCGGAGGGTATCGAACCACGACCACCAAGACAGCGAGACGCACACACACACGTGGCGTGAATGGGCAGGCGTTCGCCTAATGCAGACCCTGGGAAGCATTGGACCCGATGCTGAGGATAATTACCAATGGGGTTTGACTAATCAGCGAGGTGAGCGTGATGGCTGGGGCCCCCTGGGATGCCAGGGCAGAGACGCTGGGTGCCTTTGGTCGAACGCCCCTTTGACCACGCCACCGTTGCTGCCGTCCTGCCAAGACCTCGCGTTGATACCACGAGGTATCGATCCGACACGTCGCTTCGTCAGTTGATGTTAATTCCTAAGCTACTCGCGAGACACGGGTGGAATTGTGAGTTTAGTGGCGTTGTTGTTGAGCAACTTTGGGGGGGTTGTTGTTGTTTTTAAAAAAGGAAACAAATGAGGTGGGCTGGTGGCTCAGGGGTGGGACATTGAGTTGCCAGCTGGGATTGAACCCGGATTCTGTGCACAGTCGGGCGCTGGCGGTCTCAGCACAAATCACCAAAGGCCATGAAAAAAATAAATCAACACAAAATTAGGTTCTGCACTTCACGTGGCAAATTTTTAAGCGCTGAGATAGCTCAACAAAGTGTTTTTTCACGTGGAAATTTTACCGTGTGTACCGAACAGACACTTTCTTTCGCACGACGTGCTGCTGGAGCTCAGAACTAGTTCCGTCATATCTGCTTCCACAGGGCCATTTTCAAACACAGAGGACTGCGACGCGCAGTTGTCTCACGACGCGATTCCAAACTGCAACAATCGGAAATCGAATATATAAACGAGGGGGGGTGGAAGCACAACTCTTTAGGAAATGTTCATGGTTTATTTATTTTGTCTGCATCGTGCACAAGGGCTGAGTGCCTTTTGCACATGCACAGCGTGTTGCTTGCAGCATGCGCCATCAGAACGAAGTTTGAGAAGCGGCGTGGGTTTGAATAATTATTCTATTAATAATAACCCTTTTTTTTTACAAGGAAGACGAACGATCAAGAAGGAAGGAACCGTGGCACTTGGTGAGTTCGTCGTGACTCACGGATCGTGGTTAAGAGATGCCCACCCCATTTTTTTGGGAATCGTCGTTTCGTCCGAGGCCGAGCTCCGAGTGGCCTTTCGGCGGCCATCTGGCAGCGATTAGAGTCGAAAATTCGCCGAGAAATAAAATAAGCGCAGGGCCCATTATGAGTCGTCACCGCGCAATTATGACATTGTGATGCCGAAAATGCGACCGGCTCGCCCGCCCTATGCCGCGTGCATCACGGCATCTCATGCTCCAGATATTTTACGTAAAATTTATGATCTAATCAGCACTTTACTGCGAGCGCTCACAACTTAATTTGCAAGAAAGAAAATAATAACAATAAACCTCCGTGGAAAACTGATTGAAGAAAACGTTTGTCTCTCTGGCAGAATTTTTTTTTTCCCGCGCTTGAGCATAAAAATTGATCAACAGACCTCGCCCGACCCCCCCTTAACTCACACATTTTAAATAACACCGAGTATAATTAGTGCCCGCCAGTAACCGACTGCGAGCGTGCACATTAATGCCACGCACGCGCGCTCGCGCGTGCGTGCGCGTTGACGAGAGAAACCGCGCGGGCTTTTGACTTTCCCAACACACGGCGCGTTCAAGGACAAAGTGTGTATATATATATTTTTAAACTCCATTCGCGCAAAGTGTACTTTTTCTTCTTCACAACACGTCAAGAGCTGACGTCCGAAATCTGCTGCGTTGACAAAGCGCGCCCACCGCAACCTCTGTTATTTGTTTAAATATATATTATAATAGGGTTTTCACCTTTTTTTCTGGCAACAAAACAGGTGTTAAGATGTTAAAACGCCAAACTGAAACCTTTTTACAAGGAATCATGTCTGCATTAACCGCAATGCTTGTGGTCAGAATCCAAAAAAAAACACTGATAATATATGCATTGTCCTTGAAACGGATTGGTTCACACCAGAGACAGCTTTCTTTTGAGCCTTGTGGCGTCCTCTGGTCTAACACCGTTTTGAGACGTGGCTCAAAAGAACGCTGTCTGAAATATAGACGCCATCTTCATCAGCCACGACCAATCCACAGCTGGATGAACGCTTCCCCCACCCCCGCCCCCTCCTTCATCATTCAGCGTCATCACGTCACGATCTCTGCCATGCAACGCTGCCGGTCCAGATCGGTACGCCCGCTCAAGCAAAACCGACACTTCACGCGAGACAGTGCCGGACGAGCGCGCCAGTGCGTTCCGCGGGCCCAATCGTGGGCTCAGTCGATTCCTGGACACTCTCCTGCAGCGGTGGATTCCATCCAAGGCTCTCCTCCGCCTCCATCGCCGTCGTCCCCGCGCCTCCAGGCGTTTTTTTTCGGTCTGTCGGGCGCACGCGTTGACAATTTTCGCCTTCTCTCGTAGCTGCCCGCGATTGCGAACGCGGGAGCAGAAAACCTCCCCGAGCGTGAAATGAGAATAGGCCCCGAGCATTGCTCCCCACGGTTTCTTCCAACACGGCCAACACCACCGCCACCACCAACACGGCCACCACCACCGCCACCACCAACAGCGACACCCCCAACACCACCAACACCAACGCCACCCGCACCACCACCAGCACCACCAACTCCACCACCAACACCACCAACGCCACCACCACCACCAACACCGCCACCACCAACGCCACCAATACCACCACCAGCACCACCAACACGGCCACCACCAACACCATCACCACCAACACCACCAACGCCACCAACAACACCAACGCCGCCAACACCACCACTAACACCACCAACACCGCCACCACCAACTCGGCCATCACCACGACCAACACCACCACTACCGCCAACACCACCACGGCCACCAACAACACCACCAACACCACCACCAAAAGCATAAGACAAAGACAACGTTCCCCCGTGTAGCCTTAACAGACTGTAGGGGCAAGTGCTGTTAGCGAGGACCTATGATGGCCAGAACGGTACACGAGGGGGTGGGTGGCCAGCACCACGCCCGGCCGCCTTTGTCTCCCCAGTGGCGATGTTTACACACCTACGTGGATGGAGGCTTAGGATGGATGTAGATATTCGTACGTTAGCAGCAGCAGCCCCCCCCCACCCCCCCCCCCCCCCAAGTACTTTAGTGAAGTAAAGATATGTACAATAATACACAGGGGCGAGAGCGAGAGCAGATTGCATGGCAGACACAATCATAGATCTGAACGCTTGTTTAACGTTTGTTTGACATTGACCTCTGCTGTGCCCTTCTCCCCCATTCGTTTTGTGGGCGTGTCCCCCGCACAATCCCTCAAAGTGCACCCAGCCTGGCACAAACCCGGCGGTGACATCGCTGCCACTTCGTGGCAAAAGTTGCCTGCGGCGTGTTGTTCCGAGAACGGTAGCCCCAGGAATAGTGTGGTTCGGAGTCTCGAGAGAGAGAGAGAGAGCGAAAGAGCTGGGAATAGATGGAGAGGAGAGAGGGGAGTACGGCGAGACGATAGGAACCCGAGTCCGACTCTGGGTCTCTGCGTTTTGTTCCAAAATCCTTACGTTCCTAACCATGATGAATTGGCCTAATGAGTGATGGTGAATTAGTGCTGCCGGCAGTGAACTCATTATTCACTCGTGGCAGCCCTGCCGAGGTGGACCTATTTCCCTTCGTCGTTAGCGGGCGGTGGGGGGGGGGGTCCTTTCCGCCACAGCTGCGAGGGCAGCGCTCCCTGATGCCCTCACTGCCCCCAACAAAACACAAAGATCACCCGTATAGCCTCAACAGGCTGTTTGGGGTAAGTGCTGTGAGCGAATAGCGCCTGTGACCAGGGCAGGACGACACGAGCGGGCGGGTGGCAAAACACCACGCCCGACCGCCTTTGTCTCCCCAGCCGCGATGTATGCACGCCGCACCGGGCGCTCGTTTGAGTCCGAGTCGACCTAGGTGGGGCCCGGTACCGGCTCGGATAATCGTCACCGGCGATGGTGGCGGCCGTGAGCGGGAATCGAACTAGCCGGGTTCGTATAGCAGGCGCGATGTTCCAACCCGACTCTATTGATTCGCATCCTCCCCCCCTGAGTCACCTGCTACTCACCATTCATGAAATGAAATGGTGCCACGATGCCCGTGTCAATCCCCCCCCCCACCTCCTGACCTCCAACCCCCCAGCCTCTGCATAGCCCGATGGCTGCACCCCCTTCTCACCCGGTCCAGTTGGGGGCCGTCCATAAATGACGTCACGCGATTTTGGACGATTTTTGACCCCCCCCCCCCCCTTCGTCACACGGCGTCACAAAAAGTCAGACCCCCCCTCAAATATGACGCCACAAAGCTCTGCCCCCCCTCCCTCCCAAAATAAAACATGCTGCAAATCGCTTTAAACTATTGTCATTGTAGTGCGCATTTAATGTGGCGCTGCACTCTGATGTTGTAGGAGAAAACATTTATTAAAAAGTATATTTAATTAAGTAGAACGCGTTGTCTATATTTATTTAAAGTGGCGCATTTTGATGTGACGTCACATTTCTCACCCCCCCCCCCGCCCCCCTAGTCACACATCGTCACAAATGTCTGACCGCCCCCCCCCCACTAGGTGCGTGACGTCATTTATGGACGGCCCCTTGGCTACTTGGCGGTGAGAATTGGACAAATCGACAGGTGATGATGATGCTGCTGCTGCTGCTACTGCTGCACTGGCAGTGGTACACAAGCAAACATTTACAACACAAAATAACTCAATACATTCGTCAATAATAGATGAGTGTGTGTGTGTGTGGAGAGGGGGGGGGGTGGGCTTCATGAGCCATGAATAAGTGCCATTGCCGGAAACGTCGAAGATTATGTATTATTTACTTGAAGGACACAGCGTTAGTGACGAATTTGTTGATGGGATTTTTTTATTTTTGTTAGGATTATTCCTCGTACGAGTGTCTGGTTGGTGAGTTTAGGGTTATGGTCAATGGGAGAGCTATCACTCGTGGCTGTTTGGGTAGCTGGTTGGTGTGAATGCTCGTGACTGGACTCATACTCGTGGCCGGTTTGTGTAGGTGATGGTCAGTGTGAGAGCTAGCACTACTGGCTGCTTTGAACACATTCCTGCGGAGGGAGCTGGTAGGAACGTTGGGTTGCTCGGTCAATGACCAGGGTCAACGGCGGCGTGGTGTATTCCGCAAATATGCCCGGCTGTGAGGGCGGGCACAAGCCGGCGTGAGTAGGTTAAACGTTGAGTTTTATAAGGGCACCACGGGGTGACCAGCCCCTCCCCACCCAGCCCCACCCCTCCCACCCCCCACCCAGCCCCAGCCTCCCTCCCCACCCAGCCCCTCCCCACCCTCCCCACCCAACCACTCCCCACCCTCCCCACCCAGCCCCTCCCCACCCTCCCCAGTCAGCCCCATCCCCACCTTCCCCTCCCCACCCAGCCCCACCCTCCCCTCCCCTCCCCATCGACCCCCTCCCCACCCAGCCCCTCCCTGCACGACGGACGGACGGACACAATAATCCCCTGTGGGCTGGTGGAACCAGTGGGTTCCTACCAGTATTAATGTTTAACGTGAAAGCTCCTGACTGGGCTAGTGCTCGTGGCTGGTTTGTGTAGGTGATGGTCAGCGGTAGAGCGAACACTCGTGGGCAGGCTGACCCGTCACACAACGGGAAAGGTTGTGACGTGTGTGTGTGCGCGTGTGGGGCTAGTGATGGGGAGCGGTAGTGTAGCGGTTAGCGCGCTGCACTACGAACCTGGCGACCCGGGTTCGATTCCCGCTCACGGCAAACACCAGTGACGATTATCTGAACCGGTCCTGGGCATCCCCTAGGTCGACTCAGCCTCAAATGAGTACCTGGTGCGGTGTGTAAACATCGATCGCCGCTAGGGAGACAAAGGCGGTCGGGCGTGGTGCTGGCTCACCCACCCCCTCGTGTACCGTTCCGGCCTTCATATGTGCTCGCTAACAGCACTTGCCCCTACAGTCTGTTAAGGCTATACGGGGGATCTTTATCTTTGTGTGGGGCTAGTTAAATCCGCATCCAAAACTACGAACTCCACGCGTCTCAGGGTGTTTACAAGCCGCTCCACGTGTCGGCCGTGTTCATTAGAAGCTTGAGGACACTTTAAGTTGACGCGGTGCGTTTGTGCAGGGAGAGAGAAATCGCCACGCGTCGTTCCGACGGGGTTTTAATGACTCTGACACTGTCTCCGAGTGGACTGCGCTGTGCCGAGAACTTTTAGAACTAAAATGTACCCTGTGATCTTGAAAGAAGAAAATATCAAATGTTTACGCTGCGAGTATTTTTTTTTTTTGCCGAAAATAAATTTGAAACGTAAATAAATATTGAACAGCGCGGAACAGCTCCACACCACGACGAACGCCTACAGAGAGACCCCCCCCTCTCACCACCCCGCTCCCTCTCCCCCCAACCACCACGCCGCTCCCTCCCCACCACACCACTACACTGCTTTCTCTCCCCTCCCCACCACCACGCCGCTCCCTCCCCACCACACCACTACACTGCTTTCTCTCCCCTCCCCACCACCACGCCGCTCCCTCCCCACCACACCACTACACTGCTTTCTCTCTCCCCTCCCCACCACCACACCGATCCCTCCCCACCACACCACTCTCTCCCCTCCCCACCACCACACCATTCTCTCCCCTCGCCACCACCACATCGCTCCCTCCCCTCCCCACCACCACGCCGCTTTCTATCCCCATCACCACATCACTTTCTCCCCACCACCTCACCTCTCCCTCTCCACCACCACACCGCTTTCTCTCTCCCCTACCCACCACCACATCGCTCTCTATCCCCTCCCCACCACCACCCCACCCTCTCTCCACCACCACCACACCGCTCCCTCCCCTCCCCACCACCACACCGCTCTCTCTCTCCCCACCACCACACCGCTCTCTCTCTCCCCACCACCACACCGCTCCATCCTCCACCACCACACCGCTCCATCCTACCTCCACACCGCTCCCTCCCTACCACCACAGCGCTCCCTCTTACCACTCTGCTCTCCCTCCCCTCTCCGCCACCACACCGCTGCCTCCTTTGCCACCACACCGCTGCCTCCCCTCCACCAACTCCGCTTCCTCCCACCACATCGCACTCTCCCTTCCACACACCACTCCCTCCCTCGCCACCACCCCGCCCCCTCCCCACCACCACCCCCACACCGCTCCCTCCCCTCCCCACCACCACCACACCGCTCTCTCGCCTCCTCCCTCCCACAGCACAGACCCTCAGGCCACAGCGAGATGTATCGTTCCGAGCTCTGCTGATAAGCTAATGGATCTCACATGTGCCTGGAGAGAAATTGGCTCTAACCAAGGAA